TCGCGCCATTGCACTCCAGCCTGGGCTACAAGAGCGAAACTCCGACTAAAAAAAAAAAAAAAAAAAAAAACCAGCTACTATTTTTCTCATGGTTTTGGAGGCTTGAGCAAGCCTTCTTGCTGTGTGTTCACATAACGTGTGCTTTGAGTGTGCTCTGAGAAAGACTGCAAACTCTCTGGTGTCTCTTTTTATAATGACACTAATCCGATCATGGGGCTCCACTCTCAAGACCTCATTAAAACCTAATCACAAGCCTGTAATCCCAGCACTTTGGGAGGCCGAGGCGGGTGGATCACGAGGTCAAGAGATCGAGACCATCCTGGTCAACATGGTGAAACCCCGTCTCTACTAAAAATACAAAAAATCAGCTAGACATGGTGGCGCGTGCCTGTAATCCCAGCTACTCAGGAGGCTGAGGCAGGAGAATTGCCTGAACCCAGGAGGCGGAGGTTGCGGTGAGCTGAGATTGCGCCATTGCACCCCAGCCTGGGTAACAAGAGCGAAACTCCGTTTCAAAAAAAAAAAAAAAAAAAAAAAGTCATATATCTAGGTCTATATCTAAAGAGTCATATGCAATAATTATGCACAGAAAACCATAAAGTATTATTGAAAAAAACTAAGGAAGACCTAAATATACAATGTTCATGGATCAGAAGACTTAAATATGTCACTTCTTTTCAAATTGACCTATATATTTTATGTAATCCCAATGAGAATCTTAGCAGATTGTGTGTGAAAATTAAGGCACCAGTTCTTTTTTTTTTTTTTTTTTTTTTTTTTTTTTTTTTTTGTTGGTTTTTTTTCATGTTACCCAGGCTGGAGTGCAATGGCGCGATCTCGGCTCACCGCAACCTCCGCCTCCTGGGTTCAGGCAATTCTCCTGCCTCAGCCTCCTGAGTAGCTGGGATTACAGGCATGCACCACCATGCCCAGCTAATTTTTTGTATTTTTAGTAGAGACGGGGTTTCACCATGTTGACCAGGATGGTCTCGATCTCTTGACCTCGTGATCCACCCACCTCGGCCTCCCAAAGTGCTGGGATTACAGGCTTGAGCCACCGCGCCCGGCCTAAGGCACCAGTTCTAACATTTGTATATAAATGCAAAAGACCAAAGATATCTAAGACAATCTTGAGAAACAGCAAAGCTGAAACATATATGGTACCATCTATCAAGCCTTACAAATCTGCAATAATTAAGACAGTATTGGTATAAGAATAGATATGTAGACCCATGCAACAGGATAGAATTCAGAAACAGATTTATTCGTATATGGTCAAATGATTATTTCCAAAAAAGGCACCCAATAAATGGTGCTGAGTCAACTAGAGGGTCATACAAGAAAAGATAAATACTGAGCTCTCCCTCATACCATTCTCAAGTGATTAATTCACGATTGATTGTAGATCTACATGTGAAAAGTTAAACACTAGAAGATCGAGTCTTAAAGCTAACAATTAAAAAAATAAAATAAAATGTTTCTTCCTCCTTCCAGCTACTGATTCCTCCAGTTTCAGCTTTTATGGCTGATTGAATCTATGATGTGTAGTATGTCAATACCCCTGGTCAGTGATGTCTGGGTTTGTTTTTTCCAGGGAAATTTGGCACTGGGATTCAGTCCTATTTCTCCTTCTTGAGATTCCTGGTGTTGCTGAATTTGATAATATTTCTGATCATCTTCATGCTGGTTTTGCTCCCAGTCTTACTCACAAAATACAAGATCACCAACAGCAGCTTCGTGCTCATACCTTTCAAAGACACAGGTGAGTCTAAGGCCTGGTTTACTGTGTTTGTTTTTCACCATGTACCTTGCTACAATGCTTCCTTTTCCTTTTTTTTTTTTTTTTTTTTTTTTAAGACGGAGTCTTACTCTATTGCCCAGGCTGGAGTGCAGTGGTGCAATCTCAGTTCACTGCAACCTCTGCTGCCCAGGTTCAAGTGATTCTCTTGCCTCAGACTCTTGAGTAGCTGGGATTACAGGAGCCTGCCACTGCACCTCTCTAATTTTTGTAGTTTTAGTAGAGATGGGGTTTCACTGTCTTAGCCAGGTTGGTCTTGAACTCCTGATTTTGTGATCCATCTGCCTTGGCCTCCCAAAGTGCTGGGATTACAGGCAGGAGCAACTGCTCCCAGCCAGGAATCTTTATTATAATTCTTGGGTGATTGTATTAGTCAGGATGGTCTAGGTTGTGCTGCAGAAACAAGTGACCCCAAGACACTCATGCTGCCGTGAAATAACAGCATGAGAGCATGACTACATAACAGCATGAGACTGTGAGTGTGAAATAACCACAAGGGTTTATTTCTTTGATAGCATTGATAGTCACACGTGCAAGCAAAAACAGGCTCTATATGTGGACTCACATACAAAATAAATAAAAAGCCGTATTCTCAGATGTTTGGGGAGAATAGTGAAGGAAACATTAGAACTAGAAATAGAAAGAAATGTTACTGTATTGGACACATTGGGGTTTGGACTGAAAATGGCAAAAAACAAATACACAAACATATTTATGTGCAAACATGCAAATATATGACATTTCTTTTTTTTTTTTTTGGTGCCATAACTTGGATTCGAACCAAGGTTGCTGCGGCCACAACAATAAATGACATTTCTAAATGTAGTATACATATACAGTCACGTACCACATAACAATGTTTCAGTCAACAATGGACCACATCTGCAGCACTGGTCCCGTAAATTATAATAGCAGATTTTTACTGTACTTTTTCTTTGTTTAGATATGTTTAGATATACAAATACTTAACATTGTGTTGCAGTTACCTACAGTATTCAGTGCGGTAACGTGCTGTCCAGGTTTGTAACCTAGGAGCAATCGGGCATAACATACAGTCTAGGTGTGTAGTAGGCTACCCCATCTAGTTTTGTGTAAGTCCACTCCATGATGTTTGCATGACAAAATCGCCTAAGGACGTATTTATCAGACTATATCCTCCTAGTTAAGCAATGCTTGACTGTACATGCTTATACACACAAATTGTGAAAAACAGGCAGGTTATGGCCAGGCATGATGGCTCATGCCTATAATCCCAACACTTTGGGAGGCAGAGGTGGGTGGATTACCTGAGGTCAGGAGTTCAAGACCAGCCTGGCCAACATCGCGAAACCCCGTCTCTACTAAAAATACAAAAATGAGCCAGGAGTGGTGGCAGGCACCTGTAATCCCAGCTACTTAGGAGGTTGAGGCAGGAAACTGGCTTGAATCCGGGAGGAGGAGGCTTCACTGAGCCGAGATCATGCCATTGCACTCCAGCCTGGGCAACAGAGTGAGACTCCATCTCAAAATAAATAAATAAATGAATAAAATAAAAAACAGGCAGGTTATAGAGACTAAAACTATTTTCACTGACATTCTGGTTTTTGTTTCTTACAGATATACAATGTACAGTCTATCCAGTAAGCAGCTCTGGACTCATTTACTTTTACAGTTATATCATAGACTTGCTTTCTGGCACTGTAAGTATTTAACATAATCCTTTGTTTAGCTCCTCAATCTACTAAAAATTGATTGATTTAAAGATCTGTTTCCCAAATTTCTGCAGTGAGAGCCAAATACAAGTGTTGGTCGACACGTACCAGTAAATAAAACAGGATTTGCAGTAACCTTATGGGAAAGGATCGTGTTCATCATTGCCTTCTAGAATGACAGAAAATATACTTTGTCACTTTCAGGCATTGGCCTTTTTCTAGTCTTTCTTTTTACTTATTTATTTATTTAGAGACAGTGTCTTGCTCTGTCGCCCAGGCTCGAGTGCAGTGGTGCAATCTCGGCTCACTGCAACCTCTGCCTCTCGTGTCCAAGTGGTTCTCCTGCCTCAGCCTTCCAAGCAGCTGGACTTACAGGTGTAAGCCACCACACCCAGCTAATTTTTGTATTTTTAATAGAGATGGGGTTTTACTATGTTGGCCAGACGTGTCTCGAATTCCTGACCTTAGGTCATCCGCCCACCTCAGCCTCCCAAAAGCGCTGGGATTACAGGTGTGAGCCACAGTGCCTGGCCCTTTTTTTAAAAACAGAGTCTCATTCTGTCCCTCAGGCTGGAGTGCAGTGGTGCAGTCTTGGGTCACTGCAACCTTCACCTCCTGGGTTGAAGCAATTCTCGTGCCTCAGCCTCCTGAGTAGCTGGGATTATAGATGTGTGCAACCATGCCCAGACAATTTTTGTGTTTTTAGCAGAGACGGGGTTTCACCATGTTGGCCAGGCTGGTCTTGAACCCATGACCTCGAGTGATCTGCCTGCCTTAGCCTCTGAAAGTTCTGGGATTACAGGCATAAGCCACTGTGCCTGGCCCAGAACCACTAACTCCTGAGCACTTGAAATATGTTTAGTGTGGTTGGGAAACTGAATTTTAATTTAATCTTATTGTTAATAATCTAAATATGCCAGGCGCGGTGGCACGTGCCTGTAGTCCCAGCTACTTAGGAGGCTGAGGTGGGAGGACTGCTTGAGCCCAGTAGTTCCGGGCTGTAGTGCGTTATGCCAATCAGGTGTCTGCACTAAGTTTGGCATCAGTATGGTGACCTCCCGGGAGCGGGGGGACCACCAGGTTGCCTAAGGGGGGGTGAACCAGCCCAGTGGGAAACAGAGCAGGTCAAAACTCCCATGCTGATCAGTAGTGGGATTGTGTCTGTAAATAGCCACGGCACTCCAGTCGGAGGAACATAGTGAGATCCCTGTCTCTAAAAAAAAAAAAAAAAAAAAAAAAAAAATCTAAATGTAGATAGGCACAAGTGAAAGAGGGCCAGAAAGATCAAACAGGGGCTCGTCTTTATTTTCCAGACCCAGCGGACCTTTGCCCTGTAATTGTTATATTATTTTGTGGGAGAGATTGGTGATAGCTCTGATATCAGCCCTCTGCAATATAAACAGGTTTCTTCTGGTTGGACACATTTTTATGACCTTTGGGAGAGTTGAAAAAAGTATGGAATCTTCTGCTTCTACTTTTCCAGTTAACGAATGTACTTAATTACCCCAATAATATAAGAATACATGGTTGTCATGAAAAATGTAGAATTTATAGAGTAAAAAGTGAAAATACCCCTCCCCAGAGGTCACTAAACACTTAACCCCATGGTTTACAGCCTACTTGACCACTGACCTTTCTCTGTGCACTTACACGGTCTTGCTTGATATTTCGTAATATGGATTTTTAGTGATCTAGCCTGATCCCTGTTGATGGACATTCAGATTTCCTCTCATTTCCTTCCTTTATAAACAGCGCTGGCTGGATGTGGTGGCTTATGCCTGTAATCCCAGGTCTTGGGAGGCTGAGGCTGGTGGATTGCCTGAGGTCAGAAGTTTGAGACCAGCCTGGCTAACATGGAGAAACCTAGTCTCTACTAAAAATACAACAAATTAGCTAGCCATGGTGGTAGGCACATGTAACCCCAGCTACTTGGGAGGCTGAGGCAAGAGAATCACTTGAACCCAGGAGGCAGAGGTTGCAGTGAGCTGAGATTGTGCCATTGCACTCCAGCCTGGGCAACAAGAGTGAAACGCCATCTCAAACAAAAACAAAACAAAACAAAAAACATACTAGGGAACCTCTGTGTACTACCTAGCTATGGTGTTTCTGTTCTCTTCACTCCCTGGAGTTTTCCTGCCATCCAAGGAGGTATTTCATTCCCAGCATAAGAAGTACCAGGCAGTTGGGCATGGTGGCTCACAACTGTAATCCCAGCACTTTGGGAAGCTGAGGCTGGAGGATCGCTTGAGCCCAGGAGTTCGAGACCAGCCTGGACAACATGGCAAGACCACATCTCTACTTTTTTATTTAAAAAAGAGAAGAAGTCAAAGAGTTTTCTGTGCCACGAGGCCTGACTGTTCTTTTTCAAAGTGATTTTGGCTCTTCTGGGTGTGTTGCGATTCCATATGAATTTTAGGATCAGCGTGTCAGTTTCTGTAAGGAAGCCAGCTGGGATTCTAACAAGGATTATGTTGAATATGTAGATCATTTTGAGGAATTTTGCCATACATCTTCTGATTCACAAACATGGGATGTTTTCCGTTTCTTTAGGGCTTCTTTAATTATTTTCCATAATGTTTATAGTTTTCAGAGTATGAGATTTTCACTTCTTTGGTTAAATTTAGTCCTAAAGGTTTTATTCTTTTTTTTTTTTTTTTTTTGAAATGGCGTTTCACTCTGTCGCCAGGCTGGAGTGCAGTGACGCGATCTCAGCTGCAACCTCTGCCTCCTTGGTTCAAGTGATTCTACTCCCTCAGCCTCCCAAGTAGCTGGGACTACAGGCATGCGCCACCATGCCCAGCTAATTTTTGTATTTTTTAGTAGAGACGGGGTTTCACCATGTTGGCCAGGATGGTCTCGATCTCTTGACTTCGTGATCCTCCCACCTCGGCCTCCCAAAGTGCTGGGATTACAGGCGTGAGCCACCGCATCCGACCATGTTTTATTCTTTTCGATGCAATGGCACATGGAATTTTATTCTTAATTTTAGTTTTGGGTTGTTACATGTGCTTTTCTTTTTCTTTTAGAGACAGGGTCTTGCCCTGTCACCCAATCTAGAGTACAGTAGCACAATCAGGGCTTACTCCAGCCTCCTGAGCAGCTGGGAGCACAGCCATGCACCTCTATGCTTAGCTAATTAAAAAAAAATTTTTTTTGTAGCAGTCGGGGCCTCCCTATGTTGCTCAGGCTTGTCTCAAACTCCTGGGCTCAAGTAGACCTCCCACCTTGGCCTTCCAAGGTGCTGGGATTACAGGCATGAGCCACCATGCCTGGCCACCTGTGCATTTTCAATGCCAAGGTTTTATCAGTGCTTTATTTCCCAAACACTGAGTACTCCCTGTGCCCCTGGGGCTGTTCCAGTCTCTGGGGATATAGAGAGGAAAGGGGACACTGGAATTTCTGTTTCTTGAGGCAGGGCCTACTCTTCTTGCTCCCTGCAATAAGCTGACCAATCTGACCTATGCACTTGGCTTTGTTTCAGGGTTTCCTGGAGGAGACTAGCCTCTTTTATGGACATTACTCCATTGATGGGATGAAATTTCAGAACTTCACTTATGATCTGCCCCTGGCATATTTGTTAAGCACAATCGCCTACCTGGCCCTGAGTCTTCTTTGGATAGTGAAAAGGTAAAGTCTGTCCTTTCATTCTCTCTGAATTACCCTTGATGGCTGGAGGCTATTGGAGATATGGGAACTCTGGGGGCCATTGCCTAAAGGAGTCCAGGGGATGGTTTTGCGGGGAAAGGTTTGTGAGTACGTTGGTAGCTGGAGAGCCGTGGGAGAAATTAAAGTCAGGATTTGGGATGGAGTAGCAGCCTGAGGTTCTTTTTTTTTTTTTTTTAAAGACAGAGTCTTTCTCTGTCACCCAGACTGCAGTGTAATGGCGGGATCTTGGCTCACTGCAACCTCCGCCTCCCAGGTTCAAGTGATTCTTGTGCCTCAGCCTCCTGGGTAGCTAGGACTAAAGGCACAGGCCACCACACCTGGCTTAGTTTTGTATTTTTGATAGAGATGGGGTTTCACCATGTTGGCCAGGCTGGTCTCCAGCTCTTGACCTCAGGTGATCTGCCCACTCTGGCCAAAGTGCTGGGATTACAGGTGCCAGCCACCGCGCCTTGCCTGGGGTTCTTTTTTTCTTTTTTTTTTTTTTTTTGAGACGGAGTTTCGCTCTTGCTACCCAGGCTGGAGTGCAATGGCGCGATCTCGGCTCACCGCAACCTCCGTCTCCTGGGTTCAGGCAATTCTCCTGCCTCAGCCTCCTGAGTCGCTGGGATTACAGGCATGCGCCACCATGCCCAGCTAATTTTTTGTATTTTTAGTAGAGACAGGGTTTCACCATGTTGACCAGGATGGTCTTGATCTCTTGACCTCGTGATCCACCCGCCTCGGCCTCCCAAAGTGCTGGGATTACAGGCTTGAGCCACCGTTTTTTTCTTTTTTTAAAAAATAAAGACAGGGTTTCACCATGTTGGCCAGGCTGGTCTTGAACTCCTGACCTCAGGTGATCTGCCCACCTTGGCCTCCCAAAGTGCTGATATTACAGGCGTGAGCCACCACGCCCAGCCTGGCCTGGGGTTCTTTACTGAATCATTAATGAACACATCTGGCAATCCCACTCCACTGCACACACACTGTAACTTTGCTTTGCTGTGTATGTTAACTAGGTCCCTATTGGGTTGTAAATAGCAGAAACCTAACTCTGAGGGTTATTGAGTGGCTCACAGATCCAAGGAAGGGAGGAAACTCAAATTCCCAGAAGGCCAAAGATGGAGCCATGGCTTAGGAACAACATCAAAAGCAAGAGTCCTTTGTCTTCAGTTCTTCAATGTGGTGGTAGCTTTCTTAAGTGGTGGGAAATAGGGCATCTTTTTTTTTTTTTCTTTTTTGAGATGGAGTTTCACTTTTGTTGCCCAGGCTGGAGTGCAGTGACACCATGTTGACTCAACCTCCACCTCAGAATAGGGCATCTTATAGTTTGCATCAGCCTTGACCTCCTGCGTCACAGGTACGAAAATCCTAGGAAGAGACTTGTGTCCATTTCATTCAGGCTCCCAGCCCTGACCCTTCCACCGACCATGGCCATGGGGAGCAGTGGGTCTGTAATGAGCCTCTGGTGATTCAAGTGCTCAGCACTATGCTCCTTCAGCTGTGGCCAGGGGTGAGGGTCAAATGGCAACATGGCATTTTCTATGGGAGACAAGTGGTTTAGGGAGAGAGAGCAATTCCCAAGAAACGAGAGGAATATTGGCCAGGTGCGGTGGTTCATGCCTCTAATCCCAGCACTGTGGGAAGCCGAAGTGGGCAGATCACTTGGTCAAGATATCGAGACCATCCTGGCCAACATGGTGAAAGCCCGTCTCTACTAAAAATATAAAAATTAGCTGACCATGGTGGCGCACACCTGTAGTCCCAACTACTTGGGGAGGCTGAGGCAGGAGGATTGCTTGAACCTGGGAGGTGGAGGTTGCAGTGAGCTGGGATCGTGCCACTGCACTCCAGCCTGGTGATAGAGTGAGACTCTATTAAAAAAAAAAAAGTATTAATTCCCTTAACAAACATTGTTTCAAAAGGTACAATGACCTAAATACAATATAAATTTTATTTCTTTTTATTACCTGGGTGTGGTGGTGCAAACCTATACTCCCAGCTACTTGGGAGGCTGAGACAAGAGAATCACTTGAACCTGGGAGGCGGAGGTTGCAGTGAGCCGAGGTTGCAGTGAGCCAAAATTGCACCACTGCACTCTAGCCTGGGCGACAGAGCAAGACTGTCTCAAAACAAACAAACAAACAAACAAACAAACCCTTGTATTTCTCTTTTACATGACAATTCTGGGTAGAGGCACAGGTTTGTGTAGTAGAATCCTTCTTATAGTATTCTAGGACTCAAGTTGACCAAAATTCAGCCATTTTTAGCATGTGGCTTTGAAGGTCCTGGTGAGGGATGGGAAAGGAAAAGGCATGGAGGAGAACCATTCCAAGGGTATTTATAGGCCAGACCTGAACCTGGTGCACATCACTCACATCCCATTGGCTACAGCTCAGTCACATGACCATAGCTAACTGCAAGGGAGGCTGGGAAACATTGTTCCTGGCTGGGTAGCCATTACCCAGCAGTGACACTGTACTACAGATGGTGAATCACAAATTTTTGATGGACAGCTTTTCATCTCTGCCTCAGGGGGTTGCTTGGCAGACACTTTCATGGGTGGGCCCCTTTCTTGCCCACTTGATTGTCCCTGTGAGAGTATGCACAGTGTTGTAAGCCATGGAGCTGCAAAGCTCCTTATCACAGGTGCAGAAGAGACCAGGGTGCTGCGGATTGATTTGGCCTTCCATAAGGACCAGGATTCACCACTGCAAAGAAAACCCCAAGTGCCCAACGGGCACTTGTATCCTCAGAATCTATGAGATGAATGTGAACTGGTGAGCATCCATCCCCCACCCAAATGGACCATGTACAAATGAAAAGAAGCCCCAGCCTCCTTTTGAGAGGCAGAGAGATGCTTGGTAAAGAAATATTGGTTGATTGGGGTTCTATGATCATGCCAGGCAGATCCAAGTTTTATGGACCTACAGGTTAGACAATTTGGAGGCGCCATCTTTAAGACAAAGAGTATTAGTAATATATTTATTTTGTAAGTGACAAAAACAAACAAATAAAACCATAGCAACACATTGCTAGAGTCTTCCAGAGCCTTGGAAGGGGCCCTGAAGAATGAATAAGCTTATTTGTGGTGCTGTTGTTGTTAGAGACGGAGTCTTACTCTGTTACCCAGGCTGGAGTGCAGTGATGCAATCTCAGCTTATTGCAACCTCTGCCTTCTGGATTCAAGCAATTCTCCTGCCTCAGCCTCCCAAGTAGCTGGGATTACAGGTGCACGCCACCACGCCTGGCTAATTTTTGTGTTTTTAGTAGAGATGGGATTTCACCATGTTGGCCAGGCTGATCTGGAACTCCTGACCTCATGATTCACCCACCTCAGCCTCTCAAAGTGTTGGGATTACAGGAATGAGCCACCACACCTGGCTGAATGAATAAGGTTTGTTAGTTGCACAGTGAATCCACCTGTGAATCTTGCTCAAGTTCAAGGCCTTGATGCTTTCTGGGGAAGGTGGTGGAGGGAGGGCTGGGTGTGATATAACAGAAGAAGGGCTGGCTGTGGCCCAGGTAGTGGAAGTGCCACAGAGTGACAAAGAGTATGGACTTTGTAGGCCAGAGACCATGGTTAGAGTGTCAGTTCGCCTCTTTGAGCCTCATTTTCTCCATCTGTGAAATGGGCATACCTGGAAATGTTGTTGGGAGGATTAACATAAGCTAGGCAGGTAAATGAAGACCTTAGCATGCTGCCCAGCACCTTATAGACATTTATTACATTAAAATTATCATCATCATCATTATCATCAAAGTAGCAACAATTCTGCTACCTAACTCTCTGGTTATAGGGAAATAATTTTTCTTCCTCTGATCTAGTTTTCTCACCTGTTAAATGTAGGTCTGGGTCGAGTACAATGGCTCATACCTATGATCCCAGCACTTTGGAAGGCCAAGGTGGGCAGATTGCTTGAGCCCAGGAGTTCAAGACCAGCCTTGGGCAACATGGCAAAACCCTATTTCTACAAAAAATACAAATAATTAGCTAGGTGTGGTAGC